ACCCACCCCGAGTGCAGCCCTGGCCCCAATCCCTCCCACCCTGCCCCACGCAGATCCGGGGGCACATGCCCTCCGCTCCCATGGCTTCCCAGTGTGCGCGCAGCAGCACGGGCCGCCCCCCCTTTCCCCAACCCCCAGACAAGCTGTGGCTCTGTCCCGTCCCTTGCCCGCCCCAGCCCCGCTTTCTCCCTCGCTGCTACACCCTTTCCCTCTCCCTCCCCCTCTGCCCTCCCCACAAGAGACTTTACCAGCTGCATGCAGCTCTCCAAGCTGCCAGGCTGTGCTTATCGCTGCCTATGTGCTGCGCTGCAGCTACATGCGTGCAAGGGGCATTTATCAGCTGCATTATCAACCGCATCAGGCTGATTTCCGATAGTCAATTTTCTTTATCTTGGTGTCGATCCGGTATCAGGCCAAGGTATCAGTGCACCTCTAGCAGACATGAAATGTTATATTAGAGGATGTGTGTGGAGTCAAGAGTAGAAGCTAGTATGATCCACTCAATAGGGCATTGGACTGGCTATCAGGAGGCATAGCTTCTGTTTTGTTCCTGATCTGTCTGACCTTCCCCCTAAACCCTTTGCAAATAAAATAAGTGAGGGTCCTTAGCTCTTTTTATAAGCCATTTTAGGTCCATTGATTTAAATAAAAAATGTTATTAAAAAAAAAAAAAAAGGAAAGGACCAATTAAAGTGATGCTGGGCATAATTTCATTTTACTTGAGCAATGTGGCCCCTGGTAAATAGTCTGAGAAGGTTACTACTTCCTCTTCAACTTCAATACTGAATTGAGAATTGAAATCCTGACTGACTTGAGATTAAGGTAGCATGAAAGCTAATTTTCCTCTTACCTTGAGATGATACTTCTGGTGTCACTGTCCAGCAAGGCAGTTAATGGTAGCAGAAGAAATTCCAGGTGTAATCACAGCATCAAATGGACTTTACTGTTCTGTGAACTTCAGGATTTTGATGAGCCCCACAGGTGGAGCTATCTTGTAATGCAGCTGTGATCCTTTTCAATGTAGAATATGTAATCACTAGGCAAAGGCATATGTCTGCTTTTAAGGTAAACACTGTATTTTCTTGTATATCATACCCCTCTCCATAGGACATGTACCATGTTTTTGGAAGGCAATAAGTATGGTATTTTTTTTTCAGGGACAACACAGGCAGCTACAGGTGAGCAAAAACCTGTGGCTTTTATGTGAATGCCCTAGTTGTCGGATGAGGCACGCAGTGCTGTCTGCCCACCTAGCTTGAGAAGAGAAGAAGGGGCAAGTAGTTCAGTTTAGCCACTAGTATCTTTCAAGTTTGGTGAGGGCCCAACTAGCCAGTGAGGAGAAGACTGGCTGGGCCAAGGGCAGGCAATTATTTTGGGTTGAGGGCCACTTACCAAGTTTTGGTGAGGTGTTGAGGGCTGCAAGAGTAGCCCTGCCCCTTGACAAGTGCCCCACCAGAAGTCCTTGCCCTTGCCTCTGGAAGAGAGAGATTCCCATCTTGGAATGGGAGAAATTTTTTATATAGATAGATACAGATATAATTTTTTTTCCTGTGTGTGTCTGTGTGTACACACTAAAAATCAAACACCCATAATATATTTTAATGTAATTAAAAAAATATATATTTTTGTCCTGATTTGTGTGGTTGTGCTGTATATGTAGAAGTGATTGCATAATATCTCAAAATGCAGTC